GGTTGATTGCATGTGGTGTGCCATGCTCGATGGCTGTTGGTGTGCTGAGTTCGAGCTGGCTTTGGGGCCACTCGGATGGAGGGGGGAGGCCATCACTCCTCTCGAGGTCGGAATACCGGACGGACGGACGCCGCCAAGGCATCCACTTCTCTCTCTCTCTCTTTGTTGTTTGTCATGGCACTATAATTTGAAATACATTCACACACACACACCACATGTCGCACTCAACGACCAGGTCTGACTTCTTTTTCTTCGCCAACAACGTGAAACAAGAGCCTCCCGCCACCGAAGGCGAGGTGGAATGTCAGTTCTGTGGCTTTGAACGTTCAGAAGCTCGACTGTGGTGTTGTTCGTGCTGCAACTCTCGGTTTTGCATCACGTGCAGAGATGCAAAAACTGCCAAGTGCATCAACTGCTCATTCAGCCTCTTGCCAAGTGTGCAATTGCATGATATCCGAGGAAGATGACGGCCTTGTCGTGCGGAAGCGTGAGCTGCGCGGAAGATGCCCAGGATTGGGGACGAAACCCGTCTATCTGTGATACTGTCGCCGGGAGCTGTTGAGCCTTCGACGCAATAATAACCAATAGTAAGTATGTTTTGATCTTCGCCAAAATACGACATTAGCCCCTGGATCTTCATCCACAGACACATGATGCACTTTGTGCAGTACTCTTTGCACCCCGGTGGATATGCATGGAAAACATGAGTCTTGAGCAACTCTTCTGTGGGCTTACATTTGCTGCAAACGTCGATGGTGTCCCCATGCATGCTGTTGAACAATTGCAGCCATGTTTCATCCTTGTTGTTGATCCTCTTGCTACACATGTCACAATGACGGTAGGTCCCGTCGTTCTAGCCTGCTTGGGCCTTGTTGCTTGATTTTGAATAAATTCATTTAAGGCGACGAATACGGAGCAGGTGCAGTCACTATCAAGATGTTGAACATTCCTGTGATCACAGCTCCTCCCCGTCCTCGTCCTCGTCCTTGTCCTCGTCCTCGTCCTCGTCCTCATCCTCGTCCTCGTCCTCGTCCTCGCCCTCCTCTTCAGCATCTTCGTTTTTGAGATCATGGCTGTCAGTGGTCCCATCAGCCTGCTCTTTCCTCAGCACAAACTGGCAGTAGCCATCACACCAAGAGAACTGCAGCAACACGCGAAGCTTGTCTTTTGGCCCAACCACTTTCTTGCGCTTGTCCTGTTGAAGGAATTAAATCGGGGTTGGCCGAGCGCAACGCCAGAATGCTATCAGGGTAGGAGCGTACATTGTCCCAGTAGCAGATAAAGGCCTCCTGAAACATTTCCCTGTAGTTGACCTCTTCCACCTCGACCTTGGCTTCTATTTCCTCGGCGGTTTGGCCCTTGGCGGCTGCGTTCTCACGAAACTTGTTGAGGGCATAATCGGAGCTAAGACGGCTATGGCGCCACACCACGTCCACTCGATGTAGCGACCTGTCCACACCCTGGAGCCAGAAATAGCCGCTCATGCTTCTATCCACATAATACTTGCCCTCACCTGCCCCACAATGAGTTAACGTGATAATTAGGTACCTCGTGGAGGGAGGCGTACCTCTCTTGGTGATCTCTACATAGGCCCAATCCTGCTGCGGTCTCCACATGTCCCCGTTTTCCCCCACATACTGGATGACATAGCGGCCAGCAAAGTCCTCCTCAGCCAGCGGCTCCACTTGCAGCGCATCACCTTCCCAGGAGAGCTCTCGGTTGCACCAATTCTCCTCCTCCTCCTCCTCCGGCTGACGAGGACACGACGCGTCCTTGTAAGGTTCACTCAAAACCCAACGCAGCACGAACTCTTGGTATTACCTCTACGTCCGAGCTTCCTTCGGGGGCGAGGCCGGAGTCATCTTCAGGTCTATCCGGTTCTTCAGTACCAAACCGGTGGCAGTGAAATCGACTGAAGTTTTGCTGCTCTACAGCGAGGTTCTCTTCTTCTTTGAGTCTTTTTTTTTCCCTCAACTTTTCCACATCTGGCACCTGCCACCAGACGTGAGTACGGAGAGAAGAGGAGCCAAGGTATTATCCATGCACATACCTCAATTTGCTTACGCTTCTGAGGCTCTGCGCGGGTTCTGGTGCGGCCCATGGTGCTTGCTCTCTGGCCCTGAGAGATGCGATCGAGTTGTTAAATCATTTACATTCAGAGCCTCTGAGTTGGGAAATATTCACAAGCGGTGGAAAAATATTCACTGAAACAGGCCACCTCAACCACAAATGCATTTTTATTGGATACATAATTCTGTCAAGCGCTAAGGCCCAAAAAGGGGAAGAGATCCACGCCAAGGGCAAACTCAGCGAGTTTTCGTTCTTGCGTTTAAGTTTGCACTGGTTCAAGGAATGTGTGACTAGCAACCAACCATGGGAAAAAAATTTAAATAAAGTGCAGCCTTGTGCCCCATTATTAGCCCATTGGTTGTCCTTATTGGCTACTTTTGAGGCACAAAAAAATCGAAAAACTCCTTTCAGTTCTTTATTGTCATGATGCTGCACCCCACCACTGCTCTCCTTCTTGCCCTCTCCATGGCTGTCTTCCTCATCACCTCAGCCTCTGCAGACAAAGACAACAACCATGAGCCTATCCAGCACAAGTTCCACAACTGGATGACAACCCACAACAAGTCCTACATCAACCCAGAGTTGGCCCACCAGTGGAACATGTGGCACAAGAATTACCACTTCATCAAGGAGCACAACTGCCAGAACCACAGCTACAGCCTGGGCATGAACCAGTTTGGCAACCTCACCTTCAACAACTACAAGGCACTCTACACCACCACAATGCCACCATTTAACACTTCTGACTATGACATCCACAATGCCACCTCCTCCAGCCTCATCCATCAGGACATCAACTGGAGGGCCTATAACTGTGTACAGAGAGTCAAGAACCAGGGTACACCTCCCCAAAGAAAGCCCAATTTGCACTGCCAATCTTATGTAGCTCCATTTTCAAGGTTCATGCAGCTTGGTACCTGGAGGTGTTGAGGCACCATCACCAACAGGCTATGTATTCACCACCATTGGCCCTGTTGAAAGCACCTGCCTCAAGCATGATTGCTATCTTGCTGACCTTTCTGAGCAGCATCTTGTTGACTGTGGTGGCTGGGGCTGCAGCAGCAGTTGGATGCACAACATGTTTGAATACCTCAGACAAAGTGGGGGCAGTACATTCCAGAGCAAGTATCCCTACACAGCAACGGTCAGTACCTGTCAGGCTGCAAGCAAAAGGAAGGTTGCACAGGTTCTTGTACAAGATGATACAGCAAGGTGACAAGAATGATCTCATGAACACACTTTCCATGGTCAGACCCATCACCATCACCTACAATGCTGGGACTCAAGCCCACACTTACTACCAAAGCAGTGTTCTTGACATGCCCAACTGTGGAAATCAGCCCACCCATGCAGTGCTCCTTGTCAGCTACAGTACTGAGTACTGGTATGTGGCAAAAACATGTGTGGCATTGCAGATTGGGCCTCCTATCCCATCATCATTTAAGGGACGCTAGCCTGTTCTTATTTTCACGCCAAAAAGTAACAATGTTTGCCAGTTCTTTTTAATGCTATTGTACATGTGTGGCTTCAAGATTAACATTGCTTCCTGCTCACTGATGAAACGCCATCTCCAGAGGTGGTCCTCTACTTGCCTCCACACACACTATCACCTTCTGGACAGACATAGAACTGTATCAACATTCATGCTGGCACACCATCTGCCTTTCCTTAGGGTTATCCCAGAGCAGTTGTGCAGAGATGGATGTAGGGGGATCATGAAATACACGCAAGAGGAAGATGTCTTGCGTTGTGGTCAAAAGCGATGATCACGACAGCCTCAGGTTGCACACAATTATCAAAAGTCAAGTGTTATTTCTGAGAAATAGAGCATCCCTAGGAGGATCTTCCCCCACCTTTCGCCAAGGTCAGCAAACTGCTGGGGTTCAAGATGGCATCGTCAAGCCAACCACGTGGCAGCTTCCCTTCGTGTTGCATAGAGTAGAGAGTGGCACCTACATAAGCAAATTCATATGTGAGCTTCATGGGTTGCATGTTGATCATGTGGGATTCTGGGATGGCCATGAGGAGAACGGCGACCATGGCGGCGGGGAAGCCAACATCAACCAGGTAGCACTTCTTCTCTTCAAGAGGGGCGTTGGTGCTCAGTTCAGTGACAAGTTCATCATCAGTAATGGCTATGATGAAGAACCCAGCCACACTAACCAGGAGCCACAAGTTATAGCCACTGTTGCACATCAGACTGCAGTTCTTGTTGACTTCATAGTGGATGTCCCACCAATCCTCCTGGGTGAAGCGCTCACTGTTGATGAGGCGCTCCACGTGACTGCCGCGGAGTCCGATGGCCTCCATCTGCTCAAACATGATGGTCTCCTCATTGGTGGGCTGCACAGGCCAGCCTGGAATCCTCCAACCCTGGGAACCACAAGACGCCAATGGCGTTTGATCTCCAGTTGTGTTGGTGGTGGCAGTAGCAGATCTTCATCCAATGTTTCAAGTGACTTGCACTTGGGCAACTGCATTGTTATTGTTGTTGGATGTTGTTGTTGGAGGTTGTTGTTTGATGGACACCAAAGCAGCGGCCTATTTATGTAAAAAAAAAGTACCCATGTGAGATCATATAAAACCAAAGGTTTTGTTAATTATTTATGGAATGCTTCCACTCCAAGAGAATGTGTTGTACTAAGTTCCTATCATCCAAGTCTCTTGGTTCAGGGTGCGTCTCTCAGGATTGCGATCACAGCGTTTTGCTTTTTGTACGCTCTCTCATATACAACGCCATTGTCATCGTCAACAACACCATGAAGAGGGAACGCAAAGGAGCGGACAAGGAGGAGAAGCACAAGACAGGAGACACCGCTGTAGCCCCACCCGGGTCTAAGAAGACCAAACAGAACAAGAGACCACTCTACAAGATCCTTGAAAATGGTCGTGTCACAGATTCCCTTTGATGTCGACTTTGTCCAGGTAGCAGATGGTGATGACGATGAGGAGAAGAAGAAGAAGAAGGAGTGCACATGTGATTCAGAAAGCGAAGACGAAGAGGACAGTAGTGACGTCGAGTACGAGTGCTGCTGTGGAGCCAATGACCAGGAAGAAGAACCATGGGATTACAATGTGTGTGGTCCTCATGAGTTGGATTGGTCAAAACTGACAGAAAGGGACAAGAAACAGCTTGAGGACGGCGTCATGCAACTCATTGGGTACTACTTTGAGAAGGACCTCAACCCCGAGTTCAGTCGGTACACGGGCGAGAGCATCGTTTTGGAGTGCGATATGCCAGAGCAAGAGAAAGAGCATTGACAAGGCGGAGAAGGAAAAGAAACACATTGACGGGACAATAGCTGATCGCGTGGGATTGGTAAAGTTCATGTCATTCGAGAACGGGGAGCAATCAGAACTCCCCGACTTTAAGGGGACCATCGAGACGCGTGCATGGGCTGCGAGGTTTTGATTCCCCATCAAAACCTGGCAAACAATAAATCACTCTACTGCTGGGAAAGTTCATTCAAGAAGGAAATAATCGCGCCCATTCATCACCGTCAGCATCCCCTGACATTAACAGTTCAAACGGATCTTGATGTCCAGTGTCGAGGCTTTCGGTCGTCGTCGTCGTCGTCGTCGTCGACTCGGGGAAGTACAGTTCGGCAGGCGCCCATCCACCAAGTGCGATCCTGCAGAGGCAGAAGTTTCTGTAGTTGGTCGTGTTGGACAGGTTGCACCGGCGGCAGGTGATGTACCCGCAGCGCGAGCAATGGAGCGGCTCCTCGTCGACGTCGAGCTCGGTGTGGCAACAAGAACACGTAGACGTGACTCGAGGAGGAGAAGGAGGAGGAGGAGAATGAGGAGAATGAGGAGGAATAGGCGGAGGATGGGTCTGCTCTTGTTGTTGTTGTTGTTGTTGTTGTTGTTGTTGTTGTTGTTGTTGTTGTTGTTGTTGTTGTTGTTGTTGTTGTTGTTGTTGTTGTTGTTGTTGTTGTTGTAATTCGGAAGTCGGGAGCTGCTGCTGCTGCTGCGCCTGCGTCCGCTGTTCTCTCAGACGGGTACGGAGATCGTCGAGTTGCCCGAAGAGGATCTCTCTCCACCTCCCTTGGACGGCGGTCAAGTCCTCGACGTCGTGGAGTAGCTGTCTGATCGGTTCCGTGCCGACGGCCTGGTGATGCCGCCTGTCGCTCTCCATCGTCTGACTTAGGCTGGCGCTCTTGCTGGCGAGGAACCTGGAGAGAGCAGCACTCTTCTCGGCGAGGAACTGGGAGAGTAGCGTCTGTAATTTCTCCACTTCGGGCACGGTCGAGTAGGCGCCTCGCTCCGCCCTCCGGACGATCTCGGCTAGCGGCCCCTGGGTCATCTCGTTGCGCCTGGCGAGGATCTGGGCAGGTTGCACAAAGGCGTCGTTTGTTCTTCCCTGGGCCTCGTCGAGAAGTCCTGTCCAGGTCGAAGGATCGGCCTTGTTGAATCCGTTGGTCGGATCGACGACGCCGCCGACGAGGACGCCCATCATATTCCCCGTGTCGCGGCCGAAGATGTTCCTGTTGGTGTTGACCCCGTCGATCATGTCCCGTGCCGTAACCACTGCACGGTGTTGGTGCAACTCGTGATGGCGAGCAAGCTGCTTCTCGCGGAGTTGGAGGAGGTATTGCGTCGAGTCTTGGACGCACTTGCTTATCTCCTCCAGGTCGTTGAGTAAGCTGTCGAAGAAAGTAGGTTGGCTGGCCGTCGGTAGAGGCGGCTGGTCGACGTGCATGGGATCGACAGGCGGCTGTTGTTCCTCCCGCTCGCGCTGTTCCTTCTCTCCCTGTTGCCTCTGGGATGAGACTCACGCCCGTTGTTCCCAAGTCGAAGCCGATGGGCAACCAACCTACGCCGGTGGCCGATGAACCCCAGCCAAGAAGAGAGAGGCTCAAGTACGAGAAATCCAAACGACCACGGCAGCTGGGGCCACTTTGACCATGGAACGAGCTTCGTGCCCTATCGATGCCTTCAATCGATCGTCGTCATGGAGGACTGCACGGACGCCGAGAGGGACGGAGGTCTGGTCGTGTGGGATAAGTCCCACCGTGCCCACGACGGCTACTTCCGGGTCAAGGGCATAGAGTGCAAGGACAACTGGTATCGTTTCCCACACGAGGCTGGCGACAAGAACAAGCCACAGCCCGAACTCAAACAGATGGAGGAGGATGGCCGTCCCTATCTCTCCCCCGGCGATCCCGACTACGGCTCCGAGAGGCCCGTGCCCACGCCCAGGGCCTTGATCGGCGCAGAGGCGGGCGATGTCATCGTCTGGTTCAGCGACACTGCGCATCAGAACCAACCACTCCGAGTGGACGGCAAGAATCGGATCGTGGCGTACGTGTCGATGGCGCCCAGGCAGTATCTGCTGCCACGTGAGCTGGGTCCGCGCGTGCGCGCATTCCACGACAGGGCCACGTCGAGTCATTGGGCGGCGTGCGGGTTCAAGCGCAACGCTGTGCCCAGAACCTACACCACGGAAGCGCACAACCTGTTCAAGGAGCGCTACAAGGCCCACTTGGCAAGCCTTCCGCAGGTGGAGCTGACCG